AGATAAAGGAAGGGCCCTGTTTGAGTGAAACTTGCCATGGAGCATCAGCTTTTGGCTGAAGGCAGGGAGTTGATTTTGCCTGATCCCTGGAGGCAGTGACAGAAATCTCCATTTCTGAAGGTTGTTAGCTCAGCTGGGGGATGAGGTTTAGTCCCAGGAACAACTTTCCAATCTAGAGAGCGAGGCTACTCTCATAGGTTTAGTTTACCACAGAAATGGTGGTGATATTGATCACCAGAGTTGAGTGATCTTAAGGATTTTCCCTCCAGCAAGTGGGTCTAATTTCAGAGTGTCACTCAAATTTTGCTCAAGACAGAGGCTTAGGACCCAGTTTGATGGGCATCCCTGTAATCCTAGCTACTTAGGAGGCTGAGGTAGGAGGATTGCAAGTTGGAGGTCAGTTTCAGCAATTTAGCAAGATCTGTATCAAAATAAAAAAATAAAAAAAGGTAAGGATGTAGGTCATTGGTAGAGTGCCCATTGGTTTAAAGATAGAGGATTGGGGACAGACTAACATTAGTTGTGGATGTAATGGCTAGTTACTAGATAATTTTGGTTATAGTGTCATACACATAAAGAAAGGTGTACTCACTTATCATACCCTCTGGGTTTTGCCCGGAGAAGTTGGCTTTCTAACCCTTTCTTGCTAAACTTGCACGTGGTTCTCTTTTTGATTCATGTTATTATTATTATTTTAGTAATAGGGATTGAATCCAGGGCTGCTTTACCACTGAGCTACATTCCCAGCCCCCCTTGTTTTTTTATCTTGAGACAGACTCACTAAATTGTGGAGGATCTCACTAAGTTGCTGATGCTAGCCTTGAACTTGTGATCTTCCTGCCTCAGCTTCCTGAGTCACTGGGATTCCGGGCATCTGTGCACCACTGCACCTGGCTTGATTCATGTTATTAATGGATTTTTAGCTTTTGTCTAGGAGGTGTAAACATGATTCCTAGGTTGTAGGTTCTTTTAGTCTCTTTGGATGATCTTAATGTGCACTTGAGTGGAGGTAGTTATCTGCTTCATACACATTCTTAGAAGGGAAGATTCGTGATTGTCTACACAATTGGAAAGGAAGGAAGAAGAGTGAGTGTGATGTATTAGTGGGTGTGCAGTGTGAGGTGGGTGGGTGGCTTGGGAGATGTGTGAGCACATTACAGCAAGTGTGTGTGGAGGCGTATGGTGTGTGTGCACATGTACCAGCTTGGGTGGGGGCTGATGGAGTGAGAGAGGCACTTGTCTAGTGAAGATGTTAGGCATCTTTAGTGTGAGTCCTTCACACACAGAGTTCTGTCCCCTTGTGAGGAAACCCAGAAGCCTCTTTCCCCTATATCCTGACTGCTTCAGCTTTCCCTGTCTAGCAGCGCCCTCCCTGAGGAGGGAGAGATGGGTTTGGGTGGGGCAGAGGGAGGGAATGGGTCCCCTGTGGGTGTTAGTGTTCAGGCTCAGTGGTGGATCTCACTGGGCAGCAACTTCTTTCCTGGGCTAGCAAGGATCAGTGTGGGAGGATGGTACTGTCTTCCGCGCTCCTCCATAACAGATGACCTTGCTCAGTCCTGAGGTCCTGACCCTCATGTGATCGCGGAGGGGAACACAAGCCCCTAAAGGCCCATGTTCCTGATTATACAGAGTTCAGGGCAGGAGAGATCAGCCATGTGGCATTCCAGAGGAGGAGTGTGGAAACTGCCCTCTGGACCTTTGAAGTTGGGCAATCACAAACCAGGGCCTCACGTCATTCCTGGCTGTGTGGGTCAGTGACATATTGACAGACCGCGTGGCCCCAGCAGAGCTCAGCGGGGAGAATGCCAATCATAGTTAAATCAGACCACACCACTGGATCTAGGGGCTGTCTTAACCCTGGTGAATTGTAAGGTCCTTTATCAATAAACGTGTCGCTCTCTGTGTGCCATGGTGGTGCTGTCCCCCGGGGGCATGCTGCTTACCGGCCAGCTCACTAGCTGCTCAGAATCATGTTCTTTACCGTATCAGCACAAACCACTGATCAATACTAGGGGAAATCCATTTGCAGTATTTAGTTTTTGAAATTCTCCTTACTGGCACCAGGTCTTAGCTCCAAATGTGGGGAAAAAACTTTATTTTTCCAAAATTACAGGAAATAACTTTCCTGCACACATGGCCCTCCTATTTTTTCTTGGCAGTACTAGGGATTGAATCCAGGGCAGCTCTATCCCTGAACTACATTCCCAGCCTTTTATTTTATTTTGAGATAAACGTCTCACTAAGTTGTTCAGGCTGGCCTAGAACTTGTGATCCTCCTGCCTCAGTCTCTCTAGTCATTGGGATTACAATTGCAATGGTCCCCTGCGATGGTCCTATTCTTGTCTTTCCTATTAATGCAGTCTTTGCTTGGTAGACTTAAAGTTATTCTGAGGATGTTAATTTCTTGGATATCTCTTATACTATTTTTATGTGATTTGTATATAAACAAGAAAAGCAAATCTCAATGAATCTATATGCTTCATATGTGTCTATGTGTTGGAATGTCCTCTTTTTTGTTTCATCCTTATAAGGAATGATATCTAGAGATTATCTATACTTTTGATCCAGCAATCTCACTTCTAGGAATTCAGCCTAAAGAGCTACTTGGATGAGCTCAAAGAGGTATAGAAAAGGTGACATCATGGAAGCATAGTAGCATTGCCTTAAGGGATCATCATAGGGATCATCATTCATCAGTAGGGAAACTATTACATGCATGAGATTGACCTGTATGCAGTGGTGTAGACAGATGCCCAGGTTATACTAAAAGTAAAAACAGAAACAAAAAACATGTTGGAGAACAGTATAATGTGAACCTTTTTACATAGAATAAATCTCCCTTGTTTCTATGAATCTATGTTCTTCATATATAAAGAGAGAAGTACATCAATAACTATTGGGAGGGGGAACTTTAATGATTTGCTCTGCATATTTCTGTTACTTATTTGAATTGTTTATGGCAA